ACTATTTAAGGTACGCATGTGTCCACAGAGACTCCACGGGGCATTTGATGAACTGGAATGAGGAACAACTCGTTCTCACCGAACCAGACCTCAGACGCCGACGGTGCCTAGAAACCTCACTAATCGCCGTCACCGACACAATAGAACGTAACACTGGAAACCACAAAATTTCAACAACATAAGCATACACGATACTTAATCAGGCTAAGCACCAACTACCCAACAACACAGGAGTCACATTATCTCATCGTCTACCCGTCCTCATCCCCATATGGTATTCTTCAGGCCACCATGCGTCACTCACACCTCACTCTCTGCCTATATATAATGTCTTTCTACCTCTGTATGTTAGAAGTGATCAAGGTCCCAGGACCGAAATGTTTTCTAATAAATATGTCATAGTGTTTGCTTACGTGTCTTTCTAAACCAGCTGTTCAAAGTAAGAAATAATAGAAAATTCTCCAAAAGAAAAATGATTGTATTAGTCGTTTTCCACAGTTGCATAGAGACTTAAAAATTTATTCATTATCATTGAATATTTGTCTTACCAGAAGTTTATCAGATAAAATAACTCGAATATCTCTCTGAGTTGCCACATCCCTACACATAGTGCGGAAGTTTAGGTAAGTGATTTCTCTAAATTCCACAATAAATGTTGTTTTAATCATTACTTCAGTGCCATGTACAGACCTTAAAAACCACTTATATCCACACTATTATTACTACTGCTAATACTATTACTACTACTACTACTACTACTACTACTACTACTACTACTACTACTACTACTTACTACTACTACTACTACTACTACTACCACCACCACCACCACCACCACCACCACCACCAATACCACCAACTATGTATTGTCTCAGGTATTCTAGCCTTCTTCGGTCTAAAACATTAAATGAAAAACATCATTAAATGCAAAAAAGGTCATGTGACCAGAGCTTATAATAAATTCCTGGAATTGGTGGCAGAGAAAATTGTGAATAAGGTTAATTTAGAATTATATTTGGAATCGTTAGAAAATAGGCATGTGTTATATTATTTGTATTACACAAAATATGAAGCTCTGCTGGTGAATTGTGCAGATGATAATGAGAGGGAATTATTAATTAATCAATATTATGAACTGGAAGAGAAAATACTGTCATGTAAAAGTGAGGTATTAAATTAATTAAAATGTGTAAATACTTCACTTGAGCAATCTAGTAATGTAAATGCCAGATCTTTGCCCAAATTACCAGAGTTAAGTCTACCTATATTTAATTCAGGAGACAACTGGAAGGAATTCTGGTCAGTATTTAAGGCTGCTGAACATATGAGGAATGACCTAGTAGATGTCACAAAATTATTTTTATCTCAAAGGGCAGGTCAGAAGCGATGCTTATGCCCTGATTCAAGGGTTCCAAAATGTAGACTCTATTTACCTGGAGGCAGTTGACTTGTTAGAGGTGACATATGGTAATAGGGAGCTAAGTAATTTAAACCTAGTAAATATTGTGATTAATTTAAGAACTCCAGAACACAATTACCATAATTTGCAAAAATTTAGGGTTAAATAAGAAAGCACTCTAAGTCTTTGAGTAATAGGTTTGATTAGGGTGAATCAGACTGTATATTAAGTGCTGTCTTAAAGAATAAATTAAACTGCAAGACGATAGAGTGGTTGTCTAATAAATACCACAAAGGTTATTTTTCTCTGGTGGAAATAAGATTAGGTCGACAAGAATTAATTGTTCAGTTACAGAGAAACCAACTAAATAATTCTAAGAATGTAACGCATAAAGACTATGATGTATCTGTCAGGTCTCACAAATGGAAAAATTATCCTAATGGTAATAATCATCATAATTCATCCCATAAGAAGGGTTGCATAGGCACATATCAAGTGGCAGGAACCCAAAACAATGGTTCTCCACCTCAATTTAAGAGGAATAATTACCTTAATAAAAGTGGATTAGTTAATAATGGAAAAGTCAAGCATAAGAGGGATTGTCTTTTTGCAATTGTAATCATTTATCCATGATATTAAGGTGGAAAGATTAGAACTTGACAGATGTATCAGATGTTTAGGCAGTCAAGAAGGCATCATGTAGTAATGTATAAGGGTTTGCATAATGATAATTATGATAATAATGACAATCATGATAATAATGATAAAATGATAATATTGATGTTAAAACTGAAACAATAGTTACTAATATAAAGATTGTAGCTAATGTTAATGATGGTGGTATAGATGAAGTAGCCTTACCCGTGGAGAATGTGAAAATTCGGTGTAGTTGCTTTATTGGTATGAAACTGCAAATGGGGGATTCGACAAATCCAAAATTATCTGGTTTTCTGTCAGATTAAAAGGCCCAGCTGTACAACACTGTGTATGTAAATGTCGGCTTGAGCAATGAGAGAAAGAGTATTATTGCAGTCATAGCTGATAGGCTCCCACAGAAAATCTCTGCAATAGGCTTAGTGAAGCTACTGAAAGACTTGGCACCTTCTTGTGTGGGCAGTGACTCGTTGGGGCCAGTAAGTCTTCTGATAGGGAGTGATTATTATACTACATTTGTCATGGGTATGTATGGTAAGGATATGTGGTGTCACTCTTCTAAAAATCAGCAGGAGGCCATGTAATATATGGTAAGCTTCCTCGCTCTAATAATTAATAACTAAATGGAACATTAAA